TGTTCTTTCTTTCATCCTTTGGCATGAAAACTGGCACCTGAGGAGCTAGCGTATTGTTAGCTTTTCTACCATAGAAAGTCTTTATAGATCAGTACTCCTGTGTTCCTTTTCTATGTCTGCTTCTGTCTCCTTTAACCCAAAAGGTCAATGACTGGGTGCAATCAGAAGGTTTTTGTTTGATAGAAACGTTAAATATTTTATCTGAGTGGATGATCTGATTGATCTGGATTTAGAAAGTGTGAGTTGGAGCATAGAAATAAAAATAAATTAGAAATAATACAACTCTTAGAAAATAAATGGATGATGCTGCAGCTGGAAAATGGGTGGCAGGGAGGTCAACATTACGTTTGTACTTTGACCTGCTTCGTTCAGCGTGTAAATATTCTTATACTTTTCTAAGGCTGCTCTTTCGCTTTTTTAAATCTCTCAGTGTCATTATCGCAGCTCTGGTACCTTATTTGATCACTCCTTTTATTTACCTGCCTCCCCAATCTCTAATTATCATTTATCTTATTGACCTGCTCCTTCTGCTATATATATGGTTCAGCCCAGCTATCGGGGCCAGATCATTATTCTTTGTTTATTCATGCTGTTGTGTGTCAGCTTCCCTCTTCTGAGCCCTCATTGTTTTGGCTTGGCGTGCGGGGGGGGGGCGCAGGTTCTGGTCCTTCTCCGTGCAGCCCTCAGGGTTTTGGCTTAGAACACTGGGGATGCCAGTTTTAATTCCTGTAAGCCTGGCTCCAAGATGCCAGACTGGTTTAAAGTTTTGCAGTAATTCCGGTACCTCAACCACTTGAACCTGCCTGTGTGCATCTGAGCGTTTCTGTCTAAGCTCGCTGCTGGACTCATGGAACTCTGGACCTGCCTGAACGCTTGAGGACTCCTAGAACCCTGGATCTGTCTGTTCCTGTTCGGATCGGAACCCCTGGTTGGGCTGCAGACTCCTTGACCTCTGAACCCTCCGGTTCTGAACTGTTTCTCTGACCTGGATCGGTCTCCTGCCTGCTCACTGAGGTTGCTGCATCGGTTTTGGACGGCTCTGAGCATCATCTCATTTGGAATTCCATCGGCTGGATCTTGCCTTCCTCAGAGAGTATGACTGAACTGTTCAACCAGGGAAGTGACTCACTTGGATCGTGGTCACTTACCTGTGTTTCTCCCTCCAGTGTCAGTGTCAGTGTCAGAGTGTCAGTGTCAGAGTGTCAGTGATTGGGCGCTGCCCCGTTACCCCTCCTGCAGCCGCTGCGATCACTTATCCTCAGCAGCCCGCGTCTCGTTCTGTTCTATTTTATTATTATTGTCATTAAATATTTTGAAACTTCCCATTGTCTGACTTGCCTGAATACTGGGTCCATCTGTCCCGTTTATGACACTGAAGCATTTTCCGATACTGGGATACGACCAAAGAACTTACAATATCAAGGAAGAAGGAAAATAACTTGAAATGTTTCATTTGATGGCTTCACATCTGTAGAAAAAACAGGGCAGAAAAAACAGCTGCATGGTTTAGAGCAGGCATCCCCAAAGTCAGTGCTCGAGGACCTCTGTCCTGCAGGTTTTAGAGGCTTTCTTGCTCTAGCACAGCTGATTTTAAATGAAAGCTGATTAACAGGCTTTTGCTCAAAAGCAATCGTCATAATCAGCGTTGCTAAAGCAGGGTAACCTCAAAAACCTGCAGGACAGTGGCCTTCAAGGACCGACTTTGGGGATGCATGGTTCAGAGGAAACTCTTTCTAGATGTTTTCCAGTGTCTGAGCAGGAAGCAGAGAGGTCACATTTTTTTCCCCTGGTAAATCAGCTGGAGGCTTCAGAGTTCTTCAGCCTGCCCTGCTGTTCCACCTCCTCACCACACGTTTCATATTTCATCTGCTCTAACTGAAGTCTTATGGGTCAGCCAGTCTGTCATGGGTCCACTTGACACCAATACAGACCCAAAGACACACACAGAGGAAAGTATACTATTTTAACTCATAAGCAGTGAGTTCAGAGAACCCCAGCCTAGTGCAGGCTGGGCTATCTAAGACCTGATTGAAAACACGTTGCTTCAAAGCACAGTTTGATATCAGACAGGGGCTCCAAACATCTCTGCCTCTCTGGTTACAGGCTGTCCCACCATGGAGACCAGCTGATGTCCTCACATGTTTACCAAACAAACTGGAGTTTCTCCAAGTCATTCAGCCAGTTTACAGCTGGTTTCAGTTTAACCAGATCTGGTTGTTATCAGTCTTCCTTCTTAATAAACAGGAGCACAGGCAGTAGGCGTTGCAAGCTGAAGAGCCAGGAGAAGCAGAACTACAGATGCTAGGGGCTCTCTGACACCAAGGAGGGAGGGTCAGCTGGAGGAAGAGGGAGAAGAAGACGCTTTATGGTTTATTCTACATATTTTCTATGACTGAAAGTTTAATACTCAGTTCAGATACTGAGTATTAAAATTATTCAAAAACTGCTGCATTTTTTCCATGTCACATCTCCAGTATGCCCAAAAGCTGTTTATTTTTCCAACTTTGTATTGTCATTACACTGTCACAAGTTCAGAGCAATAAAATTCCCTCTCTGCATTTAAACCATCCCCTTGGGAGCAGTGGTCAGCCATTGTGCAGCATCCGAGGAGCAGTGTGGGGTTAAGGAATTACTCAGGGACCCAGAGTGGCAGTCTGTGGGAGTGGGGCTTGAACTCAGAACCTCTGGATTCCACGCAGAATGCCCTAACCACTCAGCCACCTTTATATTCTAACATAAGTAGAAAATCCTTGTTTTTAACCCTCTATCCTACAGCATTAACCTGCTCTATCCTTTTTTATCAAGCCTACACTGTTGTAGGTCATTTAGACTTTATATTGGATGAACTGTTCCACCTTTCCTCCTTTTTCATCAGTTCAACTTTCTTTATACGATAACAAGTTTCTTCTTATATATTCAAATTAATCACTTCATTTATATAATTTTTTTATTTTTAATTTCAATATTCTACTCATCATTTGTAGTTTTTTTTCATCCAAACATTTTTCCCATCTGTCAGGAATCCAGTTTTTTGTGGGTTGTTTCTGTGTTTCCTTTTCTCCTCCACCAGGTGGTGCCCCGTCCTCATTGAGTCTCCCTGCACACCTGCAGCTCATTGCCTCATTACCTGTGGAGTGCTCTTAAGCTGCTGACTGCCACTACCTCGAGGCCAGAGTGTTTGCCAGTTCCGGGTACTCTAGCCATGCTTAGTTTAGCAGAGTCTAACCTGAGTTTTTGTTTACCTGAGTTTTAATCTTGCTGTTTTTGTCTTTGCCTCTCGGCAGGAAGTCATCCTGCAAACTGGATATTTCGGACATTCTCTCCCCTGGAAGGATCTTCTGAGAACCAAACTGAGCTAAGGATTCAAGTTTGTGGATTGGATCAACCTTTTCCCCAAGGATTGCCTGGGGCTTCTCTCTGAGCAGGGGATTCATCTCCACAATAACCCGTTCAAGTACCTCAGGAAATCTAAGTGGCAGTCAGCTTCTCCGTTCACCAAGGAACAACCGCAGTCTGGGTAAACCCTGACCGCACACCATCAACATTTAGTTGCTTTATATTTAATCTTAAAGTAAGGAAGCAGCAAAAACCATTCAAAAGGGTTTTTAACTTTGACTTGAAATAACTCAGGCTTCTACACTTCGACAGTCTTCTGGGAGGTTGCTTCAGATAGATGGATCATAGGAACTAAAGCACAATTTAACCTGAGTTCTCCAGAAGGAATCCCAGACCTAAACCACAACTTAAAGTGAGTGATTGTAGCTATGATGCGTCTTTGCTCAGCAGCTTTGCTCGTTGTAAACCAACCAATCAGTGCACAGCTCATCTAAATATTCATGATCATACCATAAAAGGAAGAAAACCTGTCGTTTCATTCTAGGGCTTTTAGTCAGGCTTGCATTAGGGATCATAGAACAGCAAATATGCCATTTTCAGCCCAACCAATGTTACACACCCTATTCAGAGACCTTAAGGACCAGCACCACATACACTATATAATCATTCTATGAGTCCTTTAACATCTTCACAGTAAAAACTAATGTACAGAGTGCAATATAACTCTGCTTCAGATAACATTTGGTCCCAATCCAAATTGAGGAAAATGTACTCCCTGGACCACCAGTGTCCGAGTCAAACATGTTTTGTTGCTCCCCGGTATCCATCTCCACATTCTGTTGGACTGTGGCCCTCAGCTCATCTCCCAGGTTTGCGGATACTTATGCATTAGGTGCTAATGTCAGTCTAACTTTTGGTTATCACCATAAAAGTCAGACTTAGCATCTCAATCAGGGAATTAAAGTTACCCCCATTGACTTACATCCAGTAACCCATCTGGCTGGAACCAGTATCTGCCTTGGATTGAATATGTACACAATGGGCTTCATGCAACAACATCTTCTTATTCCTGTTGTAATTTCATCTTCCCTTCCTTCTACAAATGCGGCACATCAGATTCAACAAATGATCTTAACTTTAATAAATGATCCTAAATCACCCGGTTAAACCACATGCAGTCCACCTGTGTGTTAGTGAAGCGCGTTCATGAAAAAAAGTAAATTTGCATAATTACCGCCCCGTTGATGCCATGCAAGGCTACAACTTCCCACGCAGTCAGAAGGCGTTCATTCATGGAAATGGCTTTTAAGATAAAGATAAACTCTAGTGGTTTGAAGATCAAGGTCTTGCTAACGGAGAGCTGAGCAGCAGTGTGACATATTTTACCAATATGGCTCCAGGAATTAATATCCCAGAGCTAGCTGATAGCTCAACAGCTTTGCTTGTGAAAGCAAAGCTCAACCAGTCACCATGATGACTGTTGCCATAGTGTTCCGCTTGGTGCTTTTATATGAAACTTTACTGAAAATTATTTGGGGAGTAAAATCGTATACAAGGGACACGAAGATGGAAAGGGAGATGAGAAAGAAAGAGGGAATAAGAACAAAGGGGAGAGAGAAAGAGGTAGAGACAGGAAAGAGCAAAAATAGACAGAAGATATGCAGTACTTAACAATCCTGAATAAAATCAGAAGATTATAGCATTCGATTTTTAACCCCAAAAACTACATTTGGACACAAACATCATCCTGAGGTAAAACTAAATTGGTTGTAACCCTCTCAGGTGAAAATGGGCGTAAAGAGAAAACAGAACCATTTGTCCCTGAGACACAGTGAAAGCTCTCTCTTTGTCCCTATTTGAGCGCTGCCTCCATGAAAGGTTTTAGCCCCATGAAAAGAAGGCATTAGTTCTGTCCTCAGGGCTGAGGAGGAAGAGTGCTGGCATGAGGACATGAAAGTAAGGAGGTTAAAACATCATCATCAGACTGTTAAAGAACCCTCGCTGGTTCAGGTTAAGCTAAAAGCCACCCAGACAGCTGTTACCAGAGGGCTGGTCAGAGAGATAATGAGGTCAAACCTGCTTCCTGGAGGAGACAGCCGTCTTGGGCCGCCCCTGACGTCCTGTCCGTGCTGCCTCTGACGTGTCCCGGCAGCTCCTTCGAAGCGTGGTGGCGCCGGCTTCACTGTAGTTCGGCAGAGAGCTGCAAGGACAAAAACGGCCAAATATCAGTGAGGAAGAAAAAAGATGACGACTCCATCTTCAAGTAAAAGAATATTGGACCATCAGTAGAACTTTGACCAACGCTGAGCCTGAGTGAGCCTGGTTATGCTGGAGGTCCCTTCCTGTTAAAAGGGAGTTTTTCCTCTCTACTGTCGCTACAAGCATGTTTGGTGTGAGGGATAGCATTCGAGTCGATGAGTCGATGCAATCAACTGGTTTTCCTTAGATAGAAAACGTTTAATCAGTTTGACTGGATGATCTGGTGAACTGTAGAGTGCCTTGAGAGTAAATGTGTTGTGAATTGGCGCTATATAAATAAACTGAATTAAATTGAATCGAATTGAGCCAAAAGATCACAATCATCAACAAAGCTCCCTCTACTCTGGAGGAAAGTGTTCAGCAGACTGACTGTTGGATCCATAGAATATGTGTCTATTAAATCTTCTTCAGTTATGACTCCCTGGTACCAGCAGTCAGACATGGTAGTGGTAGTGAGATAGTCTGGGCCTGCTCTGAGGCTCCCTGCACAGCTGGTCTGATCTGCTAATTATTCTTGAAGGCTTTATCAGACGTCAAGGCTTTTTCAGAGAGAGGAGGCACCAGGTAGCTGGGCTAAAGGACGGAGACCTGTATACGTCCATCTGTTTGTCTCTTCTGTGCGTCTTGTAAGTGTGAGCTTTCTTAAGATTTCCCTTTTTACTGTGGTGATTCATTTGTTCAAACTTTCAGCACGGTCTTCATTCATTGAGCTTCTTTTTGAGCAATACCACACTTTTAGCACTGGTTCCAAAGGCTTTAGGAGCCTTTCCTATCATCAGCATTGTATCAAAATAGCGGTTGACGTGACTTTTTGGGTGAGGAGTGTGATTTAGCTGTTAGGGAACGTCCCTGTTGTAAAAGTGTCAATGATACAGTTGTGGCAGTATGCTTCTGGACTCTATAAATAAGGTGTACAGCTTAATTGAGGGGGGAATTGTATTGAGAAATATGGAAACTACTGTCTTCCCTCTAATAAACCAAGCAAAAGAATGATTCTGTCTAAGCTGCCTCCTTTAATCAGCGATGATAAGTTTCTGAAGGAATTGTGACATCATGGTCAAATTGTGTCAGCAATGAAATTGTCTGGTTAAATCAGCAAAGTTGAAACACGTTTGCTTTAGCAGACAAGTGCTTATGACTCTAAAACAGGACAATGAGGAGTTGAACAAATAATTCAATTATTTGAATCTATCAACGGTGTAGATGTAACCCCAACTCTTGTCTGGAGGAGGTCGATCTGATGTGTTGGGCCATGCGTCTGTGGAGAGGTTTTTTGCTTTCTCCAATATAAAGATCAGACCATTTCTCTCTGCATTAGGCTGTATACACCACTCTGCTCATGTTTGGTCTGCAGGGTTTTGTCTTTAGGATGCACTAGTCTCTGTTTAAGGGTCTTGCTTGGTTTGAAATATACTGGGATTTTGTGTTTGGAGAAAATCCTCTTGAGTTCTTCAGAGACTCCAGCAACATATGGGATGGAGATGTTTTTGCATTTAATCTAACCGTTATGTTCTGCTGCGTGTCTTTAGGATTTCCTTGCTGATTTGACCAACGCCCAGTTTGGGTGTCCAGAGGTTTGAAGAGCATCTTTGATGTGTTTAGAAAAATGTAAAGCTTATTTTTTAGGTCACCCAGAGGTCAGCTATCCCCCATTAAGCTCCAAATTAAATCTAATTTATGTTCTTTTTCAGTGCTACTTGATTTCTGCAGGTAAAATTATTGTTTGCCGTTGACATCACCATCCCAGCAGACGTTTGTGCTGCGCTCATTTCCTGATATAAAGTTATTGCATAACATCACATGTTATTCCTGTGCTGGTATTGAATATAACAGTTGGCATGTTTCCCTTATTTAGCGGCTAGAACGATTGTTTGATATTTAGTAAACCAACAGCCTCCCAGACCCATCACTTTGGTCCTGCCTTAAACCTGGCAACCCTGTGTCATTTCCTGTCAAGGTGTTGCTGTCAGCATTTCAAAATAAAAGCACAGCTGAAACTTAACATCACAGACTGCTGCTCAATTGCTCTCTATGAACAACCTTTGAACAGTCTTGGGGAGACCATCATTTTTTGTAAAAGCCCCAAAAACTCCACTTTAGTTCACTTTAGTGAATCCACCACGTTTGAAACAACCACCGCGTGCGGTTTGAACGCACCATGAGGGGGCATAATGGCTCATTAACACTGTTCTATTAAATGGTTGTTTTTAAAAAAGGCTTTCTGTATCTTGGAATCTACGGAGTACCGTGAAATCTCAGTTCACGTCCCAGCAGCAGTGGTGGGATGTTGGTCAAATAAAATAAGCGTGTGTGAGCTGTGATTGACACTCCATCAGACGCTCCTCTGGCTGTGATTGGTTGTTTTGACTCGTCCCGAATTATTCTTTCCAGAGTGAAATACAGGCAGTAGGCGGTACCAATTGAAGCAGTTTTTTTCACAGGTTACATATCACATGTACTGCTGTCTGGGCATAGGGACAGTTTTAGCCAATATGACAAAAAAGTGATTTTTAAAAACTTACAGACTTCAGCTTTAATAAACACACAATGTTTCCAAAAAAATCGTTGAGTTTACTCAACGATTAGAGACTAATATTGTCGTTCTTCACGGATTTTGAGAACGAGGTCATATTCAGGCAAAGAAAAAAGATGCTTTGGCTGATCTGCTTGGGTTCAGATCACAGGGATGCTCAGCTTTTCAGAATATGTCTGAAATGGAGGCTCCCTTTAAATCCATCTCGGTTATTGGACTCAACCTTGGAAGCTGTATATCAGTGAGTTTAAAGAATACTGAAGAATTTCCTAATGACTATGTCCAGAGTAAAATGAAAACTATTCGGGAGCATACTTTAACCTCGTAAGAACTGCAGGAGGCACTGTTGAACATGGAAACTGCTAAAGCTCCAGGGATAGAGGGCTGGCCTTGTAGCTAAGGGGACGCCGGCCCTCTGCTGTCCTAAAGCTGAGCTCACTTTTCTTCCTATAAGGGAGATCTTTATGAAACGAAGAGCTGAAGACCTGCAGGTTTATTATGTGCTGGTTAAAAGATCTACTGAAAGGTTTATGTCTGCAGAATGAAAAAGGTCATTGATCAAGTTATACATGCTGAGCTGTCATATTGTGTCCCGGCAGATCAGTAAGAGAAAATATTTCACTAATTTGAGATTTATTGGACATAAACTTTGGTCTGATTTCTGTTGATCAAGATTTCATGGGTTGGAGCACCACTATTTGGGTTTCTCCTCTGGTTCCACTTCTATGATTAAAACCCTCCTTTGTGGCAATGAAAGTGTGTTGAAGGTCAATAATGCTTAACATGCTTCTTTCACTGTAAAAAGACCAGGTTATGCAATGTCAGGAATGTTGTATTCTTGAAGTATTGAACCAATATTACGTCAAATAAAAAAGCCATTAGTCTTTGTTTATATTTCTGTATATGCTGATGATTTTATTTTGTCTATTAAAGAAGAATCTGATGAAGAAATTCTTGAATGTTTTGGGTAGAAGCGTTTCATGTAGAGGAAAAGCTTAAAGGGCCAAAATAGGGGCCTCAATTACCTAAAGAAATTAAAGTGTTTAAAACTGTTTAAAATATTTGGGTGTACTTCAGAGATAACATTAAGATCATGAAAACTTGGTTTATTTGGTTTATTCGGCTCATTGCACCCCCGCCTTTGTGCAAGGAGGAATCGGAGGAGCACTGCCAAAGCCCTGCAAAATGACCTTCAGCAGGCCACACATGTGCATGTGTCTGCACAAACAGTTAGAAACAGACTCCATGAAGATGACATGAGGGCCCGACATCCACAGATCTGGATTTTGTTCACCGCCCAATAGGGATGGGAATCGAAAACCGGTTCCTGTTCAGAACCGGTTTCGTATTTTCCGATTCCATGGCATCGTTTGGCAGCTCGCTGAACGATTCTTTTTTCGATTCCCGCAGCACCAGAGCCTAGAGCGCCGGCTCTAGGGAGCACGACTTACGTCACGTTTTTTTACGTACGTTACGTAAATTACGTAAGTTACGCAAGTTGGAAGAACTATTCGAGGAGGAAGACAACGAGCTGCGGTCACTTTGTGAATCAAAGCCCCGTCTTTCCTTAGCCCAGAGGGTAGATCAGGAAATCCAGCTCTATAAAAGCTTGCCCTCCATCCCCTGCAGGGATAGCGCCACACTGTGGTGCTGGAACAAGCAAGATGTGCTGCCCTTGCTATCTGGACTGGCTGAAAACTACCTCTGTGTGCAGGCTTCCTCCACCCCATCTGAGAGGGTGTTCTCCATGGCTGGAGACACCATAAGCCCTGAAAGATCCCGTATCCTTCCAGAAAAAGCAGATATGCTCATCTTTCTGCAAAATAACTGTTAATTTTCCCTACTACTGTTTTATAATTAGTATTTTTTGTTATTTAAAATAGGTTATTATCCCATCATTTGTTATTAGACATTGTTGGTTATTAAGTTTGTTCTTGTATTAATTTTTCATTTAAACACAGATGTTACTCCAGTTTCACATTTCCTGTGGACATCTTGATCTTGTTGATTTTGTAAGATTGTGCAATAGTTAAGTAAACACAGTTGATGCTGATAATCAAACTGTTTGTTCTCCTTTTTTCCCCAAATTGGAATCGAAAAAAGAATCGATAAAGAATCGAATCGTTTCATAGAATCGAAAAGGGAATCGGAATCGTGAAAATCTTTTCAATTCCCAACCCTACCGCCCAATGCAGTGCAGGACACTTGGCATTTGCATTCACCCCTGGTGCCTTGTGTTCTTCAGATATGAAAACAGGTAAACACTGAGAAAATGTGACAGATGGGACAGAGTCTAGAGACACTGTGGAAAGTGATCTGCTGCCTCTAAGATCCTTCAGCATAACCAGTTTGGCAGTGGGCCAGTAATGGTGCGGGGCGGCATTTCTTTGCTGGACCACACAGCAGTC